GGGCCTTCCACTGCTTTAAAGGATTGCTTTAAAAAGTTCGTCTTCTTTTCCTTCTCTTCCAGAACTCCCATTTCCGTTCCTGAACAACACAACCCACAACAGCATCCAATTTCTCTCTTAAGGTAGGCCATACAAACACTATACTTAGCGAAAGCCTTTGTCTTCACAGAGAACTTGAAGAAATCAGGAAGGGCAGTAGAGTTTTCGGAAAACAGAAAATCCCAAACTGTTGCTTTAAAAGGCATGATTTAAACAACCCACTTTGCAACTAATTGTCTCTTTAGGGAATCACACAGAGCTGCAGGCAACCACTGGTGCTTTCATATATCATGAAGAGATAAAAGGTGTGTTGGGAAAGGCTGGTTTCTTTTTTATATTTCAATATCAAAATGCATAAAGACTACCGCTCCTGAATCTTCATAATACAATCAGTGGGATTTCTCCTGAAATAAAGGAGCCATGAACTGGGAGTTCAGTTTCAACTTGGCAACTGACTTTTGGAGTATGACTAGGAGAGCCTTTGAATTCTTCACTGTTAATTCAAGCTGCGCTCCTGTCAAGTACAACAGTAAACTCCATTAAGTTCAAGAGCAGACACACTTAGGACTGTAGTACAGTATCACTTCTCTGACTACTATCCAACAGCCCCCAAATCAATAGGTCATCTTGCTTGCAATTGACTAAAATTACATCTTAGGATGTAATTGGCTTAAGGGATATTTTTTCAGAGAAGCAGTAACTAAACACTGGGAATTTATTTTTTTGACAGAAGTGCCTTAAGCAACCATCCAATCAAAACCTGATAAAATCATGGCAGATAAAAGATAAGCCTCTAATTTATTTACATCACACCACCCTCCCTGCAAAGTGCAATCATCATCTTTTGCATTAATTATTTTATATGCACTGTGAATCACAGTTCTATATTGGCTTGATTAAATCTATACTGTCTTCTCTTTTTTTAGCCTGTTTTAATTTGCATGATAATGTAGCTACTGCATTTTTCAAAAGAATACTGGCTTGGTCAATAAAGTGATCAGAGACTAAATAGAAATCTTAGGAAGGATGGCTTCCATGTCTTCACTTGAATGAGAAGATACATAAACCCTTTCAGATAACAAAAATAAACTATTCGACAATCTAAAGTATTTGTTTATTTCCCGCTTTTATAAGTAACTCAAGGCAGCTAACACACAGACAATACTTCTTCCTCTTCCTATTTTCCCACAACAACCCTGTGAAGTAGGCTGACCTAAATCATCCAGCCAGCTTTCAGACCTAAGGTGGGATTAGAACTCACAGTCTCCCAGTGTCTAGGCCAGCACCTTAAGTCCACACAACTTTTAGTTACCAAGTTTGAGAAACACTGCTTTAGAATATTCTGACGTGTTCAATAAGATGAATCACAAGAGTAAGTAACTTTGTTTTGATATTAGGATCCACTAAAAGAAAAAAACAAACCCAGAAAGCTCCTGAGCATCTAAGAAGGAGAGGTAACAGATGTGAAAGCAGTTCCATAAAAATATTCTCACAGAAGGATCAATACAGAAGGATTTGTCCAGCCATTTTAACAGCTCCATAGGGCAAATGTGTTCCTTATTTGGTAGAACACTGAAAGTGACCTCTAGCACAGCAGATGGCAAGACACCAAATTGGACTTCTAAAAAAGCACTCTAATATTAAAATAACAGGCAGACTAGATGAATTGAATTGAGAAAGCCAGCATATTTTGGACATAGCTCTTACTCATGCTTGCTAGGATGGATGAAACTTTAGCCCAAAGGTTGCCAGGCTGAATATTACTTTTTATCACATTCTTCTGAAATAACAGTCTTAGGGGAGCTTTACTGTATGATTATTTAGTCCAAAGTCAATTAATTAAACCCAGAGTGTGAAGCATATATTCCCCAAGACTGCCTTTTCAGGCTCCAACCAATATGACTGATTTACCTTTTGCATAATCTACTTAACCTGTTCTCTAATTGGAAGATCCTTGTCCCGCTTCTTGCTCTCCAGATGTGCTAGACTTCAACTCTCATAATCCCCAGTGATTGCCCCACTGACACGCAATTTGTAGTAAAAATATATGGAAAATGCCAGGTAGGGCAAAGCTGCTAATGCAACGGAGGGCAACAGTTATGTGGATTATTACCCGACTGCATCCACATAACTGGTGGCTGTCACAATGGCAGAACTTCTTGTCCAGAAGTTTGATTTTCTATGCCTTCTTCAATTGCATTTAATTAAGAAGCAATATTTGTTCCTTCTTCTTATGTGGCAGTTTTAATTTAACTGCCAAGCAATACTTTGTGCTTCCAAAAGTCACAGAATCTGAAGACAAGTATAGGAAGTCCTCAACGTACAGCTGTTCCTTAGCGACTGTTCAAAGTTACAAAGGCAGTGAAAAAAGTGACTTGCAACTGGTCCTTGCACTTACACCATCCCCACTGTCATGTGAACAAAATTTGGGTGCTTGGCAACTGGCATGTATTTAAAACTGTTGCAGCATGGTGTGTGTGTGTGTGTGTGTGATGGCTATTTGCGGCTGGCTTCTAACAAACAAAATTAATGGGTGAAAAAAGTCATAAAATCAGGGGTGACTTGCTTATCAGGAGAAATTCTAGTCTCAATTACGGTCGTAAATCAAGACTATCTCCAGCAGGAAAGTACTCAACTATGATAAGGGGTTTGGAGACTTTTCCCTTGTTTTTTAGAGGATGCCTTCTTAAGTCACCCATAACTTTTGATTTTCCAAACAGAAAAGCCAAACATAAATCTCTTCATAATTAGCCTGCCACATGTGACGTTAGAGGCATATTAACAATTCTTGTGGTAGGCCTTATAAGAAGGATCAAGTCCATCTCAAACAACCAGGCTATTTTATATACCTGCAAAAAACAATACATGTATCTGGATATTCCGTAACCAATACGGCTTTCAAAAAGCTGCTCTACTATATTAAGAAAATCAGGAGGAGAAATGCAAATTCTGAAGAACCCAAATTAGGAATGAATAATGGAGAACTTCACAGCACCAAGTAATTCAAATTCTTCAGGTACTTGAATGTCTTTACCAGGATTAAACTCCAGCCATAACTACTTTATTTTAATTACACACACACATGTACACACACATGCACATACCTACAGACACACATCTGTTCATCTTAAGGCATGTTGAAAATTATGGAATGACTTAGCATGACCAAATTTCCAAATTCTCATATGTAACAAAATGAACATTTCTATGTTATTCCAAGTTGATGCTTCTCAATTCACGTCCAAGGATATTTCCTACCCCCCACAAATATCAATGAAACAAACAAAAAATGATAGGCATTATTACTATTTTTGTTTTACTTCTTCAATAAACTTGAGGTTGACCTTTGCTGTGAATTTTTCAATGTACGTTCAGAACTCTGAACGTAAGTACATATATCCTGAATATGATTGAAAGAAAAATGCCAAACCAACTTTAGTTTGAAACTCGGTGAAGAACAATAAACATGGTAATGTAGATAGAACCAGGCACAATCATTTATCGAGGGCCTAGCAGGAATTACACCTGTTTTACTTTTCTCCTCCTTGAAATATTTCCCTGTCTGGGCTACTATATTTCTACATGGTGAATAGTAGGGCTTAAGTTGTTAGTCTCTGTCCTGAAGCTCTGGATACTCCCCCTCCCTCCCCCATGCAGGCCCTGTTCTCTCTCAGTAGCTTGATTACTGTCTAGAATATCTAACAGCAGCTCACCTCCTGGGGCGAGATTATTTTTGCCATGCCCAGTGGAAATAACCAAGCCAAAAGAGATTCTTTGTATGCTACAGAGTGACAAAAATAAAATCCATATATAGATATAGCTCACAATATAGTAGCGTCACAGAGCAACTCAGAGCAATTCTAACATGCAACACAGCCTTGAAGTAGAGGATTTATCTGTCAATTTTCCAGATATTTTCCATTTTTTCTGTACTGCATTTAATAATGATTTAACACCACTTAACATCCCTTTATTCCCTCCTGCTGCAACACCACCTCACATCCCACCCTTCTGCATTTCGTTTACCAAACACATGCAAATCTTCAGATCTCTAGTTCCAAAAGAAATCCGGGAGCTTCCTATATATAGTCGCTCTTATTAAAGGGAAGCTGGGCTTCATAACCCATGTTTCTTAATTGCAGAAGGATCCATAGGGAAATCTGCCAACTGCTCGGAATTACGTGCCTCTAGATCGCCACACCAAGTTTTCTCGGAGGGAGTACGAAGAAGCGCGGTCTCCCATCCGCAAGACCAAGCCAATGTCTCGGTTGCATTCATTCCAAGCTCCAATTACAGTAACTTCACAAGACTCGGAGGTTTTGGGAAACAGCTCCCGGTCCTCCTTCAGAGAAACAAGCTACCGCACGCGAATCCTCGCCGCTTCGTTCGCTGTATGACAGTCCTTATACTCTTTTTTCCAAAGGCCAATTCCAAGATTCAGCCCTGCTTTTGCCACACGAATTATCCACTCCCCAAACTACATGGATTCTTTCCCCCCCTCCCCCACCCATCCCCGTTATCATATCTCGATCGTCCGGGCGGCTCTTGCTTTTCGGCCCCTCTCCCACTTCCCCATTGCAATTCCCCGTGGCAAAGTACTCCGCTCCCGTCCAACACCTCTACCCCACTCAGTTCTTCACGCACTAGTGACGCCTGACCCGAAGGCATCAACACCCGCACGCCTCCGAGAGCGGACGGACGCCTTTCCACTCCAGAGAGCACCGTTTACCCGTACATCAGGGCTGATCCGATGCGCCGCCGCTTAGCTCTCCCGCTCTCCCAGCCCCAGACTGGAAAGTCCATCCGGCAGCTTTTGGCACCGGATCCCGCCCCGACCCCCCAGCGCCCACTTTCCCCGGCGCCAGCCTTCTTCCTTTCCCCGGGGGGGGGGGCAGATAGCAGCTCTCCCGCGCGATGCAATCCTCGCAGGTTCCCGCTTCTGCTTTCTGCCTTGCCCTCACCTCTCCCTGATCGTCCTCCTCCAGGCTGCTGAAACTCCACACCACCAGGCCCTGGATGAGCAGGATGGCCAGCGCCGTGGCGATCGCCAGCTTGTACCGGCGAACCAGCTTCTGCACCCGGACGCTCGCCACCATCTTCATTCCAGGCGGCGGGCAAAGGGGGAGGGCGTAGGAGGAGAGCAAGGAAGAGCCCGGGGAAGAAGGCGGCAGAGTTGAGAAACCCTGCAGACCGCGGGCGCGAGCACGCACAGCGCGGACGCTCGCTCGCACGCGCGGGGACGGGGGAAGGGGCGGGGCCGGGGATCGCAACCTCGATCGCTGAGAACAGTTGCCGAGAAGGCGAGGCTGGTGTGTTCGGCCAGCTTTGGAAATCCCAGGATGGGAAAGATGGAGAGAGGGAGGGAGGGAGGGAGGGAGGGAGGGAGAGAGACGGACTGACGGGGACCGATGCATCCCGGAGAAGAAAAGAACTCGCTGCTTGAACGTCTGACGAGCCTCCCACCCACCTCCTCCTTGATCCTTGCCAATAGGGCTCGTCAAGGCTAACAGACAGCCGCGTTTGCACGAGGGGAGCTCCTCGCCTTTCTCCCCTTTAAAGTGCAAAGAATATTTCCCCCCCCCCGCCCCGCTGGCGCTTCGTGCCCGGCCATAGGTCGCCCACCTCCCGCAGCAGCCCTTTCTGTACGACGTGAGGTGGGTACGGGGAGGGATTCAAAAGGAATCAGCGACGGGGACAGAATTGGAGGCAGGATGAAAAACTACGAAACGGGCATTGGTATGAGTAGAGAAGAACTTTTGTTCCGGCCGAATCGGGACAGTGGAGGGGGAAATCCATTGGGTGACCTTGGCGGGAACTCTTCCACGGCTTTAATCTGCATGAATGAGACAGATCTGCAACATGCCGTTCTGAGATGTTTTGTAGAAAAAGAAGAATGGAAATATAATATTAAAGGAAGGGGGCACTTTTTAAAACACGCATGCGCTTTTTTGTTTTTTTAGTTGTAAAGCTGTTTGGACCGATTTATTTTCTTTTTTGTTGTTGTTTTGACAATGTGAGTTCCGAACTGCTCACACACACTCTACGTGAGTACAAGATGTACAAGAGTTCTGATGTTATTCATACATGGACTTGTTTGTGGAAAGGTCAGTGTGGTGTGATTCAGGATCTAGTGCTGCAAAGATAGTTAATGTTCTCTACCATTGTTAGAAGGTGGTGGTTCTTTGTATTCCAGAGCTGCAAGGTGGGGTTATCCACCTTCTAGCAATTTACATGCACTTAAAAACATCTAGGTTTAAATATCTACTCAGACAACAATCTCCCTCAATAACTGGATCATCTTCAGTATGAGTGAGTGTGGAGTTTGCTCATTGTTCCAATTCCTGGAAGCTTGACATTTAGACAAATCAGTCATCAATTGCCAAATAGAAATAAATCATATTTACACACCATTCAAAAGAGACAATACAAAAGATAAGAAAAAGAGCAGAACACATCTCCAGCAGCTAACATCCAGATAAGTAGGGATTAACACCAGGCAAACAAAAAAGCAGAAAACTATATCCTTACCAAGGAACTACCAAGGAGAAAATCATACCCGCACTAAAACTGATAGGGCAAGCTACTGTATATAAACAGGGAGCAAACTCCACACTCAACTTGCACTGATGTTATTACCTAATTAGGCAATCAAACATCTGCAAGCCAATAACCAAACTCAGAAAACACCAAGGACCCCACAGTTAAACCCTGAGCTATAGATACTGTTCTATTGGAACTTTGTCACTCAGTCCTACCTGCAGATCACAGAAACATTTGCCTTTTAATAAAATACCTAGATTCCTTTTTGCCACCGTAGATTTGACACCACTCTCCTACAAAATCAATCTATTAGCTTAATTATGAAAACAAAACTGGAAGGAAGAGAATGGAGACAGAGCAAACAGCATGTCAACTGCTTTGCATTCTGGAGGAGACAGGATTCAAATCAGGAGTGGCAGGGCCCCTACAAGGTTTTGTGTGGCCTGTGAAGGGTCTTATTCCAAAAATGACAGGGACCAGAGAAGAGTTTCAGGAGTTTCCTAGGGTGAAACTGGTACATTTTTATTTACATATTCCATTTCTATAGCTGCTCATCTCAATCCAATGGGCTTTTAGTCGCTGGCAAAAGTTAAGGCATTCCTCTTGCCCTGTAAAATTACTATGGGGCCATAACAGGAAAACTGGCAGGCCACATTTTTGCACTTTGTTTCTAGTAGCATCATAAATAACTTCTTATAAACATAATGATTTTTATTTAATTATTACCTGTGAACTTTCTCCTTCTGATTCTTTTGCCTCCAAGGATTTTATTGGATCGCACACAATTAAAAGCAAAGCCAAATAAGATAATTAAATCCATAAACATTAAAACACAGTTTAAACAGTTAAAAACTACAATAACAAAAAGGGAGAGTACATTCCAAACTACCCAGAATGCAACCATGTAACAGGCTTCATACTTCCATGGTATCCCTAGGCCTGATGGTAGAACCAAGTATTACAGTAAGTAGTACTTCCTGGAAGGCTAAGGGAGTTGGAGCCAATCTCACTTTGTGGGGAATGATGTCCCAGAGGGCAAGTGCCATTGCAGAAAAGGCTCCTCTCCTGGATCCAGCCAAACTAAGGTCCTTGATGAATGGAACCCACAACATGCTCCTTCTGCCAGACCTGCTGGGATCTGAACTCTGTTGTCTTTGTTCTTAGTCGCTGACTGTCTCTTCATTTTCCTCCAAGATACCAGGTAACATTATAACAGCTTTTATGCATGTTGGGGCTACCTTTGGAGTATGTCTGAATAAGAGGGAAACTATTATTGGTAGTCCTCAACTTATGACTGTAATTGAGCCCAGTTGTAAGTCATGCCGGTAATTAAATGGGTCATCACATGACCAACCTGATTTTACAACTTTTTTTGTGTAAAAGTTGTAAAAGATTAAGCGAATCTGCAGTTGTTAGACAAACCCACTGCCCAAAATGGGCATTTTTTTTTCTGGAAAGCAGAAGTAAACATTGGTTTCCAGCAAAAAACATAAATTTCAGTCACAATACTGCGGGGCATTGCAAACAGATGTAAATGCAGGCCAGTTGCTAAGCACTCAAATTGCAATCACTTGACTGTGAAGGAGATTGTAAGTACCTTGCTTTGGGTCCATCATAGCTTCAAACAGTCACTAAGCAGCCAGTCGTAAATCAAGGATTACATGTACTTTAGTGCTGGTACACCAAAGATGATTTGAGGTTGTCTTACCCATTGGCTGGGGTCAAGATGAAGGCAAGATCTTGGTGCCATCAGAGGGCCATGGTAGAAAAGAAATGCTACCAGGGATTGCATGTGTCATAGTTAGGTGTAAAGGAGGAAGGGCTCTTTTTGCCTTGTTTGAACTTTTTTTTTAATTTGGGACATGTTTGTAGCATTATGCTGTGCAATGATCTAGGTTGTAATCCTTTTTTTTTTCTAAACTTAGATGATTAATTCCTGATCGGATAGATATCTATGTGGCTTCCTCTACTATGTATTAAGTTTATCATGCAGAAGTGTTTGCTAGAACTTCATGATATATTTGCAATAGAAGTATAATTTATGCCAACCGTCCTTAACCAGTTACATGCATATCCATTGTGCTATTTACTTTCGGAGTATGCAGTGTTGCAGAGAGAACAGAAAAAGAGTAAGAAAGGAGACTTCCGGTGGCAGGCGATTTCGTCGGTCGCAGCTGTTTGCTGCCTCCCGCCTGTTTTGCGTAAAAGCCGGTTTGACAGCCAGCATCAGCTGTCAAACGGCTTGATACCTTTCCCCTGGGCATAAGGGGATAGGTGAGCTGCCCGGGGTAGGAGTTGAGTTCCCGAGTCGTCCTATATGGACGATGTAGGCG